ACATGGTCTGTGACACTTAAATAAGACTAATTTAGTTTGAAAATTAAATGTTTGTGATTTCACTAAACTCTTTATGATTAAAGTAAGTATTGTATATATTATAGGAAGCATAAATCGTATATATAACCAATTTTAGATAACAATTGTAAAGAAATTCCTTGGTAATTCTAGTTCTAGTAGTACAGTGTAGACCATAGCCTGTGAGCTGGGGCCCTAATCCCGCCGATTCGAGTTCATTAAGCTCCTTAAATGCGGCCCAAAGTCGAATTAATATTCCAAACAACATTTGCCGCATTCTCTATCCCCATCTCTCTTCTTTGTGTGTTGCCATTTCATTTGCTCTCATTTGACAGACCCCGGCGGAAAGTTGAGCCGAAAAGTTCAAAGCGGGCACAAGTCAGGCAGGTCAGGTCAGGGGCAAAGAGAGGTATCCGTCTGCAGTTGGCTTTTAATGTTCTCTTTTGCGTTTCGCTTTTCTTTTCATTTAATTTTTTCTATATATATTTTTTTTTCTGTTTTTGCCTAAATGGTAATTAAAATATGCCCAGATGGTGTCTGGCAGATGACCATCAGGAGGAGGAGGAGGAGGTGGCATCAGGGAGAGTCAGAGTATCCTTCGAAGGTCAATTGCAATCAGTGAGTCCTTTCGCCATCTCTCTCCTGGGGCACTAAGCAAACACGGTCAAAGTGCAAAAAGGTCATCAGCAATTGCTACTTTTTCATTTCTGCTTTTGATTTGCTGAAACTGCGACGACACTCTGCACATTTTAATTGGATACGGTTGAAGGCCTTTAAAGGATTTCTAGCGGGATCCTTTGACATTTTTATTTGACTCTTTGATGTATTAGACAGGGTGATAAAATATATAATATATAACATTTAAAATATCTCAAAACTATGCAAATTATTCTCTGTACGAGCTTTCTTTAATTCGTAATTGTTGTCTTCTTTATCCTTGATAGTTCTTCAACCGCAACAAAACTTACTTTCCCCCATATCCCAATGTTTTCCACATTTTCCGCCAGCCATTTAGCGAACTTTGCCGCCATCTTTCATTCATAATTCGCTAGTCCCCTCTTTTTCTTTTTGCCTTATTTGTAGCTGCACACACACATGGAGGGGGAAAAGAACAGGAAAAAAGGGAAAAGCATCAGACGCAGCTGGGCGACAGGGAAAACTGTGTCAACGCAGCCATTTGGCAGCCAAAAACTCCCCTCAACCGCCGCTGCTTTTTCCACTTTGCTGTTTTCCCTGTGTCGTGTCTCTCCAGTTTTCCGCCACGTTGATGGCGACATAAATAGCACCGCTTGGTTGATGGCTTAGTCCCGCTTACCCCTCGGAATTTTCCTCCATTTTTCCCGCCGACGCTATTTTTGCCATTTCGCCCAGGTAACAGCCGCCGCCAGTTGCTCATAAATGTAAACTTTTTCGGCTAGTTACATGTAATTATGCCATTTTACTGGCGGAAAAGATGAGAGGACTTTTCCGCTCCGCAGGCGGGATGAAAATCATCCTTCTCGGGGACTGGTGCTGGGATGCCTCCCGATGCCTTTACACTTGATTGCCAATTTAATCGGCTCGCAATTTTCCGCCTTGGCGGCATGATTAGGGGGGCGTGGCCGTGTCTAATTTGTGTATCAGTGCAAAAAAGGGAGATCAGATCGGATTTCACGACTTTTGATGAAAAATATGAGACGGTATACGATACCACCCTTGTCGATGGTTTTATATTTATTTATTTTTCACCCGGACACATGCACACACACTTACACACACACATAATTCAAATACGTGACATGCATGTGTACACTGACTGCAGTTAATCTTCGCCTAAGCCCTCTGCGCCTGTCAATTTTCCATGTGGCCAGAGGATGAGTCGGTTTTTCTGCGTCCTTCAAGAGGAAAAATGTGTATTTCGTAAAATTCTCTGGGTAAAATTGAAAACAATTTTAAGTCCACCTCTGTGTTTTAACCTTTGCAGTTGGGTTTTAAATAAAGAAATACATACCTTTGAAAAAATTAATAAGTTTTTTCTGGCAATTAAAAGCACTTTTGAATGCATTTTCAAATAGGTAAAAATCAGTATGTGGATTTGATTTTAAGTACTTTGCAAGGTCATATTAATTTTATTCAAAAGGCTGTAAGTTGTGAAGGAGTCATTTCCGACCCTATAAATCATATATTTCTTGATCAGCATCAACAGCCGAGTCGATCTAGCTATCTCAGGAAGAAAAAAAAAAATTTCAATTTTTTTCGACATATTTGGGGAATTTTAAATATTCAAACATTAAAAAACATTAAATTTTTTTAAGTTTTAAATTGAGTATGCAGATTTATTAATATAATAAAAACTAACTTAAGACAGCTTTCCGAATGAAATTCATACATTTTTGGCTTAGTTATGAGTTTTTGAAAATTTGATAGGTCAATAAAAATTTGCATATTAAAATTATTGATAAATATCAATTGAAACTATGAGAATAACTTATAATCTTTTTCGGATTCTATCCTGTAATTCAATTGAAACTGCAAGGGTATATAAACTTCAGTTACCTTGTTGAACATCACATCACATTAATATTCATATTCACACACCTTCTAAACATTAACAATAAAAATGCTTAAACTTTGTTCTAATCAAAGAATTCTGTAATTTTTGTTATGAAAAGGACAAAGGATGTCACCAAACATAGCAAAAAAAGAGTAAGCTTTTGCTCTTTTTTGCTATTACATTTTTTTTGTGCCTTATAGTATAGTATAGTGCTCTTCTCAAAGCGTTTGACATTCGCAAGAGTATATATACCTTATACCTTAAAAGCGAGAATGATGTGTGTCTAACATATTTATTATAAACTATAATGTCCAAGGTAAATTTAATTTAATTAATAAATTAAAGTGTAGCAGATGCTGTTATACCAAGTGAGCTGTTAGACATTATTTCTTAAAGCTGAACCTCATTTAAATTTAATAAATAAAATAAAATATTGAAACTTTAAAGAGTATGTAAAGTTCGACTTGATGGGCTTCCTGTTAATGCTTTTATTTTTACACCCACAATGGTGCCACCCAAATGGGTGTGTGTGCATCCCGTGTGTGTGTGCAGCACACTTGCATGTTTGCTTAGTTCACATGAAGTCAGTTGTTAAATTGTTGGTGGCGTCTCTGAGGCTTTCCATACCTTCCATTCCCACCGACTCACTCTCTATCTCTCTCTCCGAGTGTGTGTTTCCCTTTTTCCAGGTGGTTCCGGCGGTTTTCTGGCTTTATTCTGTGAGGTTTTCATTTTTTTTTTTTTTGTGTGCTGGCCGCAGTTCCTGCTGCTTTTGTTCTTGGCTTCAGCAAATAGACTTTAAATATTTTGTGCACTGAATTTATCTGCATGCCACTGTGTGTGGGCGTCCACACACATTCACAGCCAGGTGTAAAAGATTTATGACGACCTCGGGTCGGAAGGGGAAATGTAAATAAGTTTCTTTTGCTTTTCCGATTTATACTTTTGGCTGTCAAATAAAGGGTCATTCATTGGCTATTTTTGGCACGTCTGTGTCGGGACTCAGGCGCGTGTTTGCCATCTTTTACTTCTTTTTTATTTTGACATGATCCCATAAACGTTTAATAAAACATAATATGCTTAGATACAAACATCCTGTGGTCAAATTCTGTTCGCTTGTGTGAACATTGAAGAATGAGGAAATTTTAGAGCATACTTTTTGGGGCTGCTCGAGATTTTTAGGCTGGCACAAATTTATAAGCAACTTAATCTGCATAAAACTTATAAGAATGTTATAACCAAATTTAGTAATTCTAGCTTTTATAGTTTTTGAGATCTTTACGGTCAAGGCTTTAGTTTTGTTTATTTTCTCATATTTTCAAATATATTTATGTGTTTAATTTACGTGCAATGCTTGGGAAAACTACAAAATACGATTTAGTACAACGCGATTTGCTGGGGGAATTTGATTAAACTTTTTGCATATTTCACCGGCGGAAAAAGTGGGAGAAATGTATGAACTCTATGTATACATATATATAAACTTGAGCAATTTTAACTTCTTTCGCTTTCTGTTTCTTGTTCTCCTTATTTTTTTTTTTTTTTTGTTTCTCTTTAATATATGTATGGCTATGAATTTATAACGGAAAGTTTTGCATTTTGCAAATCATTTTTAACACCTGCGGCAGGGTTAAAGTTCAGTCAGCGTAAAAACTTTGCAAATTAGAAGAGGTCCTGCGCTGTTTTTTTCCCTCCCCAGTTCATATATTTATATTTCGCTCAGCGGAGATTTCATTTAAAATGAGTTAACCTGTTAATGGTGCAATGATGAAGAATAAAAGCAACAAAAACGTGGAAAAATTTACAATATTCCAAGCATGAATCGTAAATTTGTTTGCTGTCAGTGGAGAAGCCAGGAATATAGCCTAGACAATGGAAGGGAAAATCGAGAAAACAATGCGTGCATACACATATTTACTATAGTTTGGGGTTAAATCGGGCAAATCGGCTGAACTGCTGACCATAAGCAAACACCGAAACTGAAGATTTATGGCCAAGTAATCGACACAGGCAATCCCATAAATCTAGAAGCAGTTCGAATGTCAAATGGCCAACAGGCCAGCGCCAGCGAGGTGAGTTTCCCTTTCGGCCAAAAGCCAAGGCAAATTAAAGTTCAGACCCAATAAATGTTAATCGCTTGCTCTTTGTCTTTCTCCCTCTACCAGTTTCTAGGTAACTCCTTACCTCGCCTTGGTTTTAACCTTTTGAACTAATTTGTTAAGAGAAGAAGCATATTTCATGGCTCAAAGAGAACGAGCAGTTTTCAATCTCAATTAAAGCGACAAACACGGGTCTTTTAAGACTACATTGGGTGTTGAGCAAAGCACTTAAATATTATTTACTCATTTGTTGATATTTCTTATTTTCTACTTGCTGCCAAAAATTAAATGAAACTGCAGCAAAACTATAAAGTGGCATAGTATCAATTCCATCATTTGAAGCCAAGTCATTAAATTGGCTTTGAAGAGTCCACAAATCTTTCCGTCAACTTCATGCTGGTTTCATAAATGATATAAGCACTTGTCTAGAAATAAACCACAATTTTAGCACAATATTATTTAATATGCATTTTTAACTTACCTCCTTAGACATAGTTCCATTTTCTTCGGTAATCGAGTCTCTACGTTTACTCTGAGTTTCAGTCGCTAGGCCGATAATATAGTCACTCAGGAAGGAACTCATGGTGTGCAGTAAGAACACGATGGACCACATACACATAAAGAAATTGGGTGTGCTTTTTTCGTTCCAGAGTAGAATGCCAAAGTAACTATTCATGACGGTGTAGGAAAAGTAATTTAATCGAGCAGTCAGCATTTGAGGACCAAAAAGTCGATTTATCCGTGTAAAAGTTCGACCAAGCTTGAAGTGCAAATCCCACAGTCGTGAAATTTCCTTCTTTTTAGACTTCGACTGCGGAATAAGCTCATCTATGCGCTCATTGATGAAATCATAGCCTCGGGCAATGTTCCAGAATACAAGAAAGTATTGGAATGTGCTGGCAACTACCAAGTTCTTGCCAATGGTCACTATAAGACATGATATTCGCGGCTTAAAACGAAATTCCACTGGTAATCCGTAAATAAAACACTGCATCAAATTGTGCAGCGATCGGGATGCAACTAAACAAATCTTCAAATAGAGCACTTTGCATAGCTTTGAGCTCGTATTCTTTCCGGATTTGGACATCTCACGATTCACCTGAGTGATTAACCTATCCATTTCCAAGAGAATTTTATCCCGACGGCCACGCAAAACCAACGCGTACAGAATTACTGCATTGTTGATGGAATCGAGGACATACGGCACTGTTTTTACAAATCGCGGATATAGAGAGATGGACGAATTGAACTTGGAAACTTCCCACATGCAGTAGGGCAAAGCTGCCAAAAGTCCAAGATTTACAATCCATACATAAGTCTTAGTTATTCTAGTCTGTTGAAACCTGCCGTTCACAAATCTATAGGAAGTCAGACCTATGACCAGGGCGTATTCGTGAAAGAAAGCCAGCAATTTCTGCATTTTATATACCGATTTCAAAGAGGACTGCACAGTAACTGAGTTAATGAAATGGTCTTCTCTTGAACTGACCTTTCACTCATTATCCTTACATTCTTATCGAAGATGTCAAGTCAGCAAAGAAGTTGAGATGACAGAATCGCAATCAGATCTAGGGTTTAAGGTTTTGTTAAAACCTCTTAACAAATGGGTGTTATCTGTTAATATTCTAAAGTGGAATTACTATTAATAGCAGAAATGAACGTGGTATTTATTGCAACGGAATTAATTTAACAACCAAAGATGTCATTTTAATTTCAACAAGGTAATTAGACAAGGTTTTTTCCAATTCTAAAACGGAACCAAAGAATTATCCATTCCCTCGCGGGCAAATTTCTTCAGTTACCTTAACTGCTTCGGTGCGGTGCAGGTGCCAGTGATGGCCAAAATGTTGTTGAATTTATGGCCAATAAATTAAAAACTTTTACACCGTCTTGCTGCAAGTGAAAGCAAACACGAATGGTTGTGTGTGGTGTGTGTACCTGGAAAGACATTTTGGCAGAAACATTAATTGAAAAAAAGAAACCCCCGGTCTGGCGACCAAGTGTGGCTGAACATATCAAAGGCAATTACGAATGCCGTTAACAACGGCCAAAATGGCTAAGACACCGCCCAAGCCACTCCCCTCTCTTGCTCATCTCATTATTTAGTTAATTATATGTTTGTGTGCCGGCAATTACAACTCAGATTTCATTGTTGGCCAAAAACCATTTTGTGGCCTACACTTGGGGCTTGGCCAGCCATCAATGCGGATGCGGATGCTGATGATGATGGGGTGGTTCTGCCCTTACCGCAAACTTCTAATTAATTTGAAAGGAAACATTTGAATGTCCTGTGTGTTGTGGTCACAGTTGGCCCCTTCAGCCCACATGAAAGGGGTCCTGTTTGGACATATGCTCATTAGCAGGCAGGACATTAAATAAACCAAACCAAGCAACTAATAAGGTTTCAATTTTTATTACTCTTACCGGCTTAACCATAATCAAGAACCTTGCCCAGCTGCCGTGGCAGCTCTCTCGAAAATCTGTCAACTATCTTGGCCAACAGCTGCTGGGCCAACAAAGTTGCAGCTCTTAACACATTTAATTAAGCAGCGGAAAAAGCCGAAGCGCAAATTTTCGCGGCCCAAGAACCGCACACAATGTGCATTAAAACTGAACCGAAAGTGAAATGGTATTTCCACCAAGTGCAACTGTTATTTTTAGGAATCCATTTCGATGATGGCTAAAACCGTGGCCAAATGTTTGCAAAGCGGCTTGACAGCGAGAGAGGACAGCGAGCGAATAAAAATAACAAATGGCAAAGTTGCTTTTAGTCCTGCCAAATGTTTGGCAAAAAAAAAAAAAAAAAAATGTCACTGAAAAAGTTTTTAATAAGCTTAAATTAGACAGTTGTATTTTTTACGATTTCATTTCAGTTTGAGTTGTCCCTGTCTTTAGCCTTGATGTGGGGCTTTTATAAGTTTGAGCCGTGGCTTAAACAGAGCGGAAGCAGGATTCTAGCAGGATTTATTTGATAAAACTATGGGCTTGGGTTAATTATTCGGCAATCATTCCATTTGTTAGTTCTTCTTCGCTAATATATTAACTCTTGGTAACTAACTTGTATTTCATACCTTTTGTATATTATTCTGTATCCTTTAAAGACCTATGACAACTTTAAGACCAAAGACCACCTGCCTGCCAGCCATGGAGCCATGGGGTTCATTATAATAATGGCCACTGAAACGAACATGTCAAGAGACCGGAGCAACCGACCTGACATGTTGGCCACAAATTAAACGAAATTCGTTTGCCAGAAACGACGATAGAAACTGGCCAACAGAATGTCAGGCAGGTTAGTCCTGGGTCAGGGGGGGTGGTAGAATCAACATAACATAAGTAATTAACCAAGTGATAAAGAGCCTGGCCCCGTGGCAATACAAGTTCAGCATTCAAGACGACAACAACGACGATGTTGCCTCGTCATTAGCGGCCAAAAATGTTGCATTTAGCTGTGGTCCTGATGAATATGGTTAATTTCAGTCGTATATATATTATATATATTGTATATATGTGGATAGGAGTCTGGGAAATATATGTATATATATTTGTCCCTGGCGACGATGACAGCGCCTGACCAAGACACATTTTTCGTTTGTCCTTTAATTGCATATCTGAGGATGCTGATTATTATGGAGATGATGATGAGCCAGTCGTACAATTACCAGCATCCCCACTGTGAGATCTCTGTTTTGATGTCGTAACCAGAAGAAGGAGAAGTCGTCCCTGGCCTTTTGCCGAGCTTTAGTGTCTAATTAAAAGCAACAGCAACTGGCCTTAATTTATGCCCGTTGAGGGACAGGCTACCCAGGAAAATCCCACCTCGCATTCGTTTGTATATACATTGCGAATGCTTAATGTTTTTGCTTTTAAAAAAGTTTACATCATAAATCGCACACTTGGACCATATTCGCAGCTGGTGGCCAGGAGGTAAATATGCTAAATTAGATGTCTTTTATATTACGAAAAATGGTTGCTTTAGAATACGAGTGCTTAATTCGATCAGAGCAATCCTTGACACATAAGTCGTCTTACCTTCCCTTTGGTATCCCTAGCAACAAATTCTCAGTCTCAATCGAACACGAACACGGAGAGTTTCATACAATAAATAAGTCAGCAATAACTAAATCGAAATTTCTAGTTTAGTGAAAGTATTACTTCTTTAATATTAATCCAAATTAAGTAAGTCCACGATGGCGGCAGGTGGATCTGATATGGCTGATGTGACAACAGAGCCCCAGTGCAGGCGCCTATAGGACAAGTTAACCCGAACTATAACTTGGACAATGAACGATTAGATTGCGAGCGCATAGGTAATTTCTCATGCCATTAATTGGTAAGGATAAGTTACTAAATTACCAACATTTCCTAAACAAAAATAGATGAAATAACAACAATATATAGCTACATTGAAAGACCCTCATTTGTCACCGTGCTTTTGAGATTCTTTGGCAATATGTTCGGTGAGTTGGCTGCGATGCACTATCCTCAGAGTTTTAAACTAACTAACTAGTTCATCCCCAGTCGACATCTTTCGCGCAATATTCTACTGAAAGGATTTGGTTCTGTAAATGGTATAGTGCTTACTGAGATCTTGTGTGGCCCCCTTTTTAAATAAATCGTCTGTTCAAAATAGTAACACTCTGGACTTTAATTTTCTCTGGGTTTCTATATCAGAAAATCTCTAACCGCAATAGATTTCATCGAATACAGGAATGTGGCAGTAACAGGAGCAATTATCATACTCCTGAGCGAGTTCCGAAATTTCAGTGAGAAATTTTTCCAGAACCTCGGGATTTTAAACACATTCTTATCCACTTTGATTTTTTTCTCAACCAAAAAGTTCCAGCGTCGCATACTCTCGATGACATCGCCACAGAAATCGTGCTTGTTCTTTTCCCCGTCTTTTTGACTTTCTCCAGGAGCATTTTATATGGTTCTATAAAGGGATAATTGATCAAGATCAGTGACCATAAATTCCCTTTCCCCACTCACTATTTTTCATTAGCAAGGCAGCCTTCTTCTGTGCCGCATCGTACATCTCAATGATCCTGTACATCCGCCTGTCCATGTCTTTGTATACTCTCAAGTAGTCATAGCAGTGGGACTTGCATTGGCTCCAGTATTGGGTATGAGTTGCTTGAACTTTTTGTTGGCAATGGCTTCTTCTTTGAGTCCAACTCCTCACCTCTCTGACCGTCCGCACACACTATTTGTGATTTTATGCGGCCATTGCGGAACCGGAAGTGGAGGCTAGCCAGCAGTTTCTCTACGCGCGACAAGCAGCTTTGGGAAACAAAAGAAAAATCATTCACCACAAATATAAATAAAATTAGTAAGAAGACAACCCACTTGGAGTTCCTCAGAGAGTACACCCGGGTATGGAATAGGTCCTTAGCAAATGATGCAGCTTGAAGGCGACACAATTGAGCAAATCCTCAGCGGCACAGACCTGCATTTACGCAAACGACTGTTGTCATGCACTGTCTGGCGGATCCTCCAGCCTCGGAACAGGGCCTGGATCTTGGTGGCCGATTTGTGGTAGTGACGGACTACCCTATCCTGTAGCATGTTTTCCACGAAGCTTACTTGCTTGTTTCGGGCCAAAAATCCACGCCACCAGCGTTGTATGGTGATGGCCGCCTTGGTTCTGCTGAGAAACTGGCAACGACGATGGAAGCGCCGCCAGGTGCGTTGGATGGTCTGGGTAGCCTTGAATTGTTTGTAGTCCAGCAGGAGCAAGTATGTCCTAGGAAATAATATATATTAATAGCTAGTTTTTGTTTTATTTTAAATTGGATTATAATCTAGGCAACTCTGGAAAGTTACTATATATGTTAAAATGAGATTTAATCAATCTCTCACCGTGTTATGTTTTCTTGGCTCAAACAGGGACTTCGATTTACCGAACTGAAGCTACCCTCCAAGCTCTGTTTCTCTGATTCGTTTCTAAAAAGGATTACAAGTAAAAAAAAGAGAAGTAACATTTTCCAATATTCCAAGACTTACAGTACATACGGTATATTTCGTCGGTTACCATTGTGCCTCGTCTTGTTACCTTTCGCATCATTATAACACATAAACTTGCTACCTAATACGCTATTTTCTAATTTATATTTTTAATAATTAATATTAAACCGTGTTTTGTGTGTATTGTGTCGTGTGTGTGTGTGTGTGTGTGTGTTTGATTTGAACTAAGTGTTATTTTGTTGACTGACATCTCGATGGTTTATCGATGTAACGGAGCGGAGATTTCCGTCTAGCTGCTGGCTATAATTTATGGCCCCAACGATTATTTCCGCATAAATCTTTAGGGTTTGCGGTTGTGTCCTATCCCTATGCTGGTGTTCTGGTGTCTGGTCTCCATTCAGGCGACATCCACATATATATATATATATATATATTTATTTCGCCTGTGTATCAACATGTTTCCCGCTTATCGTGTCAGGGGTAAGCAAATTTATGTGTCCTTGCCTTGCCGCCTACGAGCTTTATTCTTCTTTTCCCAAGCTTCCCGCCATAAATATTCGCCCGAGAGACTTTTCACTTTTCCGTGGAGGCTGTGCATTTAATTGAATTGTATGGAGAACTGGGGTTTGACCCATATTTGCTGTGCTTTGCCCCCCGAAATTGCATTCTCCTTCAGCTTCGGTTTCACCTCGTAATTGTGCTCGAATGCTGACAAATGGCCGAGGTCAAGTTGCCATAAATTCGGGCTACCAAATGCCATTAGGCGAAAGGAGTCCAGTCCTGCCACTTTAAATGAAAATCGATACAGAGCCACGCGCTTTTGCCTGCTCATTATGCGCCACAAATGAACCTTACACACACACACGCACACAAATCGCAACAAACGGGCGGAAATGAAACGGAAATTCTCATTTATGGCGCCCTTGACGCCATTTCCCATCTACCATCTCCATTTCCAGTGGACTGTTCATTCGCTCGCTCGGTCGTCCTATCTATTTGTCCCTGACAAGTTGGCACTGCTTCTCGCTGATTTCTGATGCAGATTGAGATTGCACAGGGCTTGAT